ACATGTAATGATAGAAAATTAACAATTAAAATTACAAAATTATTAACTGAGGTTGCTTCATAAATTTGGATAAACTAATTGAACAAATCTTCTCGTTTTCTTAATAATTAATAAATCAAATAAAATAATTTATAAGTAATGTTAGAAAATTAACAAGTAAAGTTGTGATATTAATAACTTACGTTGCTTCATAAGTCTAAATAAATTGATTGAACAAATCAAGAATTATCAAATCAAATAAAGTAATTTACAAGTAATATTAAAAAATTAATAAGTAAAGTTAAAAATTTAACAATTGATGTTGCTTCATAAGTTCAAATAAATTAATTTAACAAGTAATTTATGATTTGTGCAAAAAAAAAGTAATTTATGAGGCAATTTTAATTGTTAATCTCTCAGTCTTAATTATTGATTTTCAAGCATTACATGTAAATATACCAACTATTTTTTAAATGTTTATATAAAGGTTATTTCGATACTTTCATTATTTAAATTAATTTTATTTCAGTCCTCTCAAACTCAATTGAAGTTTTAAATTTTAATGTTCATTCTTTGTTATTATATCACATCCTTAGTTCTCTCAAATTCAAACTGTCAATTTCACTAAAGAAGAATTGAATTGGATTTAAAATAGTGAGACTTTTAAGTAATCAAAGTTGTGTGCAACTCTATGGGATTAAGGCTTGTCTACTTTTTTCTCTCCTTTTTCCCTCCACTTCTTCAATCCTTACTCTTCATTAATTTTATAATTAAAAAATATTTGATAAAATAATATAAATGGTGAGGACTGAAAAAGAATTTTAATTATAGAATTAAAAATTAAATAATTAATTATTAAATAATTTTTAAACTCTATAATTAATGAAGGGTGAGAATTGATAAAGTGGAGGGAAAAAAAGAAAAAAAAGTGGAGAGCCTTTTGGTGGCAATTCCATAACTCCAACAACATCATTTATATTGATGTTTGATGAGTAGGCTTTGTTCTGTGAGGTCATAACTGTAAAATTGAAAACTTTAAAAGTGTTATAAAATAAGTTTTTTTTTTGGGCCTAGTATAAAATTAGTTAAACATTTATCATAGAGTACCTTTTATTATTATATGAAAAAAATTATATTTTTTAACTTTAAATTTAATTTTTAAATCATCTTTGAGATTAATGATTAAAAAATTGGAAAATTATATAAATTTTTTTATTTTTTGAAATTAATTTTATATTTTTAATAGCCTTAAAATTTAAAAAGAATTACATACATGTCACATATAAAAGAATTAATTACTACAATATTCATTAATAACTGAATTAAGATTATAAATAATAAATATATTATTATTTTTTTAGTCTGATTGTTAATGAATTTTATAATAATTATTTTTTTATATAAAACTTTAATGTAATTCTCTTTAAAATTTTCAATCTAAAAATCTAACACCAACATTTTTTCTGGCTGAACCATAATCCTTAAAAGTCAACGCCAAAAAAAAAAAAGTATCCTAAATCACGATGGCATGTCTTCACACATGCTGCTTTATTTTCACGGGAAAATAAGTGTTTGATTCAACTGTAATTTTTCTTCCCTCTTTTTCACAAAAATGATGAAAAAGAAAAGAGGAGAAAAAACAGAACAATAAAATGTAACTATCAGTTTTTCAAACAATAAAATAAAAATAAAAAAAAATTACAATTAAGTTTCACATAAAAAAATTAATTATTATAAATTTTATTGATAACTGTATTAAATTACATTGATAACATAATTAATTATTAATATAATTTAATTCAATTGTCAATAAACTTTATAATAATTAATTTTTTATGTAAAATTTTAATATAATTCTTTTAAAATAAGATCAAAACAAGCCCATGGCTCCGTTGAAAACTAATTACTTGTTGTTCTCAAAGTTATATTACACTACTACTAGTTATATATTTATGATTTGATTGATTAGAGAATGATATAGACTAACAATGTTGCTGAGCATAATTTACATTCTATTTTTATCAATATCACTTCTTTATTTTAAAAAAATCTATTTCCAAATATGATAGTGGAAAATACATTTATTTTTTTATATCTAAATAATTTTTTTGTAAATATAGATAATCTTATTTGTTTAAAAACAAAAGTGGATATTATTAAACAATAATATAATAGCATGAAAATAATTTCATTTCTTAATTACCATTGTCTGTTTTCTTCCTTCCTTCCCATTAGATCAAATATTAGCTTACAATTAAGTCAAGCAACAAAAAGAATGTATTAGATGCTTGTCACTTTTTTAACGAAAAAATATTTTCAAATTGCTTTCTCATATAAAATAACGAAAATATATTAAAATGAAGAACATAATACAAAAGGTTGGAGCTAAAACGAAAATAACGAAATTAAAACCTAAAAACTAGCAACTGAAACGCCTAAAAGTAAAACAAGTAAGGTTGTTAAATTTAAGAGTTTAATTAAATTTGTGATAAAGATGTAAAATCAAAACGTTAATTCAGATTATAAACTTGTTAGAGTTTACCTCTATTAATAAAAGTGCATGATTAAATAATTAAAATATAAAATATGATCATAATTTAATTTAAATATATTTTAAACATAAATAATTAAAATTAAATCTATTTACATTCATAAATTTGTATACTCAATATAGAAATTTTAAAATAAAAAAACTTATTTTTGATTTTTTTAATTTTCTTTTTTTATTACCATTAGTTTTTTTTAAATTTTATTTTTTTATTAAAACGGATCCTATCACTTTTATTAATAAAGTTTTACACAGTTTATATATATCTTGATCAACAATTTTACAAGTTAGAAATATAAAAATAGTAAATTTGAATAGTCAACGTATAAATTTAATTGAGTTTTATCTAATTTAAGTTTATAAGTAAGTTAATATAATTTTATAAATTAAAAATATAAAAATAATAAATTTATAAAGTTAATTTGAGAATTTGAGAGTAATAAAAATAAGTGTTTACAGGTTATAAATGGTCGCGAATATACGAACACAAAATATAAAATTTGGCCAACTTCTCCTTTGTACTCTTGCTCATGCTCAAAGCCTCACACCTACTATGTATTAAGCTTTTCTTTCTTAAGAAAAAAATATGGACGCATTTTTTCTCTGGGAAATGATAAATAAACCCTTTTTAGGAAGATAATAATTTAATCTCATAAAATATAATAATTTTTTAAGTTTTAAGAAACCTAATTGTCATTACAGATTTTCATGAAATGATAAAAAATTCCTCAATTCAAAAATGTGCAACAAATTTTTTTGTTTATAGTTTTAGTTTTAAAATTCACAAATTTAATTCAACAAATGACTAAAATAGTTTAGGTATTTTTTTCAATGCAAAATGCAACAAAATTCTTTTTTCATACATTTAGTTCTCAAATTCAGAACCCTAATGAATCAGTAAATGACTAAAATAATTTAAGTATTAACAACTTTTTTAACTGTTGTTTACAATCAAGAAGTGCAATAAAACTTTTTTCATTCATAACCGTGGTTTTAAAATTCACAAGGTTCAATAAATGATTAAAGATATTTTGACATTCACAACTTTTTTTTATCATTTTTTTCACTTTTTTAAATTAAGGAATATTTTCATCATTTTATCAAAAATCTTAATAACAATTAAATCTTTTAAAACTTAAGAGGTATTATTATATATTTTAAAAATATTTTAAAAGATATTATCACAATTCATGAGAAATTTATTTATTATTTGCCCTTTTTCTAGTAGGACCAATTTCCCTGCTCATCATAGGGATAAACACCATAAGATTTGAACTATTTAAATTTTAATTGAATGATCTAGATTTAAAGTATTATTATATATTTTTTTATATTTATAAAATATAAATTTGTAAAAATTATAAAATAATTTAATAATTTTTTTAATATAATCTAAATTTAATTTGAATGGTTTAATTTAATATTAAAAATTTTATAATTATTATATATTGATTATCTATATATACTTTGCACTTTTGAACTGTGTAAAATATATTTGAATAGTTAATATATAATAATTATAAAAATTTTAATATTAAATTAAACCTTTTAAATTAAATTTAAACCATATTTTATTGATTATATAGATGTACTCTGTATAATTTAAATTAAATTTGAACTATATAAAGTATATTTGGATAGTTAATATATAATAATTATAAAAATTTTAATATTAAATTAAACCTTTTAAATTAAATTTAAACCATATTTTTGTAAATATAATATATAATAATATTTTAAATTTCAATCATTTAAATTAAAATTTAAATGTTCAAATTTCACCAGTTGCTACGTGCGGAGCAGGGAAACCAATTCCCTTCTTAATCTTCTTCAAAGCAGCAGAACACGTGGCGACAGCTCCAAAGAAAACTCGTGGGACCTTTCGGTCGTGTTTGTTCTTTGTTGACCCGAGAAACCATCAAATACGGGAACAAGAATACGCAATCAAATAACTATATTATATTCAGTCACTTTTTTCCAAAAAGAAAACTAAAAGAAAAAGAATATTTTAATATTTATTATTCAAGAATAGTTTGATTTGACCCCCGTGCATTTTCGTTTACTTTAATTTATGTGATTTAGAGTTAAAAATACTTTCAGGGCAAAAAATAAAATATTCTTAAAACAAGTAGAAAGAGTAAAAGAGTAGCTCTGTGTACAGGATAGGGAAGTTTTTCTTTAGATGGGTCAAAGTTGGAAGGTTGATCAAAAATTTTAGGACAGGCCCCAAAAATTTAAAAAAAAAAAATTCTTGCGAATATAGCAACATATTTCCCGTTTTCTGAAGCAGCGTATATGATGTATAAATGCAGAGAACTGAATTGAATTAAGTTGGGTGCGAAGTAGAGCAAACGCGTGGAAACTTGAGAAACGATCGAAGACGTACGATTCTTTGGTTGACTACGTCAGATCAGAGCCTCCCTAGCTCCGTATATAAATGAAATGAACATAAACACCCACCAACATTGCCTTCTTCAAACTCCATACCCTCCTCACCACAGTACCAAAAAAGTTTTCTGTGTGTGTCCCCTCCATCTTCTCTCACAACATGCACTTCACCATGACTCTCCCAAAACCACCCTCTCCGGATATCTCCCTTCTCTCCTCTACTTTTTCTGCTTCTCGCTTTCCCACCCCCTCTCTTCCCAGGTGCGTCCCTTTCTCTCTCTCTCTCTATTTATATATCTGCTACCTTCCTCATAAGGATATTGTTTATCTGTTTATTGAACTCTTTTGAGGCTTTACAGATTGAGTATGCCGGAGAAGGCCATGCCCAAGGAGGCGGCCTACCGGAACATTCACCATGAGCTGCGGCTGGATGCCAATCCCAAGCTGAACCTGGCATCTTTCGTGACGACTTCCATGGAGGAAGAATGCAACCAGCTCATCATGGAATCCATTAACAAGAACTACGTTGACATGGACCAGTACCCCGTCACCGCCGACCTTCACGTGAGTGCGTCTTCCTCGTCGATCACGAATTCCCCCCTTAATCTGATTCTGTAATGCTTAATTTCTGAATCGATGAATATTATTGTTGCAGAATCGATGCGTGAACATGTTGGCAAGATTGTTCCATGCTCCGATGGGAGAGAATGAGAGCGGAGTCGGAGTGGGCACGGTTGGATCGTCCGAAGCCATCATGCTGGCAGGGCTTGCTTTCAAGAAGAGATGGCAAAACGCGAGGAAGGCTCAAGGCAAGCCTTTCGACAGGCCTAACATCGTAACTGGTTCCAATGTCCAGGTATCTATAAATCTCCTTGATTAATTCATGCGTGTCATGTTAAGGAGAGGGGCTGAGATTTATAAGTTTAAAAAGCTTAGGAGTTCTCTCACTTAACATGCTAGTTTTTCTATATGAGCTATGTCTATGAATTTGTGCTCGTGACACAATGAGCATGGATCAAATCAGTGAGTCTTGAACAATTCACTCATGGCTTGGATTGTGCAGGTGTGTTGGGAGAAATTTGCAAGGTATTTCGACGTGGGGCTGAAGGAAGTGAACGTGAAGGAAGGGTACTACGTGATGGACCCAGCAAGAGCGGTGGAGATGGTGGACGAAAACACCATCTGTGTGGCAGCAATTCTGGGTTCTACTTACAATGGCGAATTTGAAGATGTCAAGCTCTTGAACGACCTCCTTCTCCACAAGAACAAACAAACTGGGTAGGTACATACCAAACATCAATTAAAGTAAGCGATGAAGAAAAGAGATATATAATTGATCGTAAGAATGAATGGTGTACTGTACGCAGATGGGAGACGCCGATTCATGTGGATGCAGCGAGTGGAGGGTTTATAGCGCCATTTTTATACCCGGAGCTAGAGTGGGATTTCAGGCTGCCATTGGTGAAGAGTATAAATGTGAGCGGCCACAAATATGGACTGGTTTATGCTGGCATTGGTTGGGTCCTTTGGAGGACCCAACAAGACTTGCCACAAGACCTTGTCTTCCACATCAATTACCTCGGAGCTGATCAGCCCACCTTCACCCTCAATTTTTCCAAAGGTACTATACATTACATTTTTTTATTATATATTTTTCAAAATGTCATAATTATTTAAATTTACTGTAGCATTAGTCTAATTAATTAACTTGTCAATTGCAGGTTCTAGCCCGATTATCGCCCAGTATTATCAGTTAATTCGCTTGGGCAAAGAGGTGAGCAAATAATTATTAAAGAAGTTGTTTTCCATGCACAAAGAATTAGAAGCTACATTACTTTTTTGGATATCGAAGTCATTAAATAAAGAGTATTGTACCAATAATTAATATTTGTGGTTTTTCCGTAGGGCTACCGTAATGTGATGGAGAAATGTAGAGAAAACGCCATGGTGGTGAAAGAAGGAATATTAGAGACAGGATGCTTCAACATAGTCTCAAAGGACGAGGGTGTTCCTGTGGTGGCATTCTCTCTCAAGGACCGAAGCCGGCACGACGAGTTCAAGATCTCGGCCATGCTTCGCCGGCACGGGTGGGTTGTGCCGGCGTACCCGATGCCACCCGGTGCTGAGCACATCAACGTGCTCCGAGTAGTGATAAGGGAGGATTTGTCTCGCGCGCTGGCCGAACGCCTCGTGATGGACATCACGAATGTGTTGCATGAACGTGAAATGCTTCCTCAAAACATGTCCACTGTTGAACAAGGTATTAATTCTGCTAACAACATTAATGTGAAGGAACATGATCGCATTGAAGCAGCAGTGAAGAGGACTGCCTTGGATGCCCGAAGGCGAATCATTGCTCAAGAAGCTAGCAAGCGCCAAAAAATCTTAGCAGCCTAGTGAATAGTGAAGAGCTGTTAATTGCAAGAGCAAAAACTTAACTGTACATTAACTAATTAGCTTTTTCTACTAATTCATATGGATTAATTTTATTTTTTTATTGTTTTCTTCTAAGTTTTTCATGTAAGTAATGGTATCGAATCTGATATTAATTGTAATGATGCTTTAGATCCCTTCTCGTGCATTCAACAGAAATAGGATTTTTATTGCGTGTTTATATTATTATAGTATGTATATATGTGTGTGTATATTAAACTAATACTAAATTTGAGTATTTCTATATTCAGTTAGGACCCTCTTAACACACGGATTAAGTGGGTTAGCATATATATATATATATATATATAAAATCATTTTTTATTGTTTGATTGTATCCAGATTGATTGTCTTCTTCGTTGCCAAGAGCAACCCAAGGGGGTTTTGCTTCTCTTCTTTTTAGGGGTACTGTGTGGGAGCTTCCTTCGCATGTACCGTGCCCAACGTTTTCGTTTTTGGGCTCCGGCCCGTTTTGTCAAAAGTAGGGTGTGCGCGCGCGTCAGAATTTTCAAGTGAAGTTTAAAAAATGATGATGAAGAATAAGTGATTAAAAATTAAGCCATTTATGTTTGATAGAACTGTCTTAATAGCTAATCATATCAATTAGGATTGAGTATAGTAAAAATGACTAGTCATAATATGGTCTCAACCAAAAAAAAAAAAATCAAATACTCACATTTAGTGATTAGTGTCTCAAACAAGGCATTCTTTTACAATAGAATTAAAAAATATTTTTGCTTCTCAACTATTTACTTAAAACATAAACTTACATTACATATAATGTAATTTCAATTTACAACATTTGAAAATGGTATATTCTATTGGTAAATTAATTTTAAATGTTAATTGACAAAAATTACAAAAAAATATAAAAAATTATAGAAAATAACTCATAACATTATACATAAATACCCCATGCTCAGTGCATTATTTTTAAGTATTTAAAGGTAAAATTATACTGCATGTAAATTTAGAATACGAAATATTATTAAACAAATCATTGAGATGCAAAATAAATGCCGTTCAATCCTTTACAATATTAAGAGAACATCGCACGTGACATATAAAAATACTTATTACACGAGTATTTTATCTAAGATATAATTCAATCATGACTTAAACTTAAGCATGCGACAAATTGAAGACAAAAGTAAAACAGAATGCTTGAAGTTTTTTGGATGAATGTTTCAGAAGCATCGAGAATGAACGTACATAAATGCTATATGAATTCGACAGACATACAAAATAAGATTTGAGTGGCCCACACATATAGAAGCTACAGAGGAATAAAAAGGTTGCCTTGTTTGCTGCAACAAGAAATACACGTGTAGATGTATTAGAAGCGAAGCAGGCTTAGTGGATGAAATTATGAGGCATGTAATGTGGCACCAACATTTTGCCTCCCCAACTTTCTTCATGTTCACACTCTTCTTTTCAACCCACCAAACCCCCCCTACCTCTTTTTCATTTCACCATTAAACAACACAGCATGCTGCAAAAGAAGCCTATTCCTCGCACCAGAACCCTAATTCAAAATTGATCTTAGTAATTAAAAGGAGTTATAACCATTTAAATATGAGATCTTGGATTCTGAGTTCAAGTAAATATAATGCAAAAGATATATATCTTTGAAAAAATGACTTTCAACTAATGGGGATGTAATCTAATGAAATGAACTTCACATTTATAACATAGCAAGCTAATATTCCAATTGTTATTAAGAGGAGTATTTGCATCTAATGCCCAACCATGCTTTCAATAAAATTCTCAGAAAAATACTTGTTCACTATTTAAAAAAAAAACTACTCTTGTTTGAAGCCTAACTCATCTCAAATTTAAATTAGTTAAAACCAGTTTTTAGCAAAAATTACGCCAATTTTATATGCCCAAGTTATTTCTAGTTATGACTATTCATCCCTTCAAATATTAGCGTTCTATTACTTTTTGTCAAACAAAATTTAATATGATTAAATTTCATTCATTCACTTGATTGACATTTTTAATAGTTAGAGCTAGAATTGCTCTATGATTGTCAAAGTATACCGTGTCTCCTAAATTGTTAAGAAAAGATTTGGATACATGGAGGAGACTGTGGCATTCATAGGATTTTTTGAATAACAAATGAGCAAATAATGAGAAATATCAATATCCTACTGCACCATTGTGTAGTTGGCCTAATTTTTGATCACCCACGTTCAATAACCATTTATTAAATATTTTCCAAAACATCAATATTTTCTTTGTAGAACTGTGGAAGATAGTGCAAGCAACATAAATATCTAATTACCTGCACACACACATGTAGAGATATAATAATATACGATGTTCTTATAAAACTCGGGCACTGGTTGAATCACTAAAAGCATGGATGAATCAAAGTTAAGTTATTAGTCTGTTCATGTCTAGTTAAATTGAGTGACAAAAATTTTATTGGTCACAAAATACTCAGAGATACGCTCATTTTAATAAGTTTATATTGGGTCATTATTCAATCACATGTAATTTATCCCATGAACTACGTAGCTACATGCTAACTGACGATCAGTGTGAGGCATACAATTCTTTTTAAAAATCCCAATCATTACACATTGAATATGCCAGGGCCACAACCACCCCACTAGTGCTTTTTTCCCTTATATAAACCTTGCCTTATTGGTCCATAGAACCCATCGTGTAACACCATATCTAATTATCTATCTTATCACCATTGATCACTGTCAATCAGGCTGCACAAATTCTGAGAGAGAAAACAAAAACATGGCGTTGAACGTCAGGACTCTCACCGTGACAGTGTTGATGCTCATGCTGGCTTCAGAGATGCTGCTGCTGGAAGCTGAGGCAGCAGGAGAGTGCGGGAGGACTCCGATAGGGTCCGCCGCGGCCAGCCTGACGCCGTGCCTGGCGGCGACTCGCGATGTGAGGGCGAGGGTTTCGCCGGCTTGTTGTGCCAGAGTTAGTGCCATGATTAGGATGTCTCCAAAATGCCTCTGTGCTGTGCTGTTATCACCCATGGCAAGGCAGGCCAAGATTAATCCTGCCATTGCTGTTACTGTTCCAAAGCGATGCAACATCAGGAACAGGCCCGCAGGCAAGAAATGTGGAAGTAAGTAACCACCCATATATTGTTATATGAATCCCATATTAAAAAAATTTCACAAAACAAGTACAGTTTATAAGTACGATAGACTCGGATGCATACGCGTGAATCTAGGTATTTTATAATTTATAATCATAAAAAATGATTTGCATATATATATAATGTGTTACATACAACAACATCAGGAACATTTATTCATATACATAATACACTTGACTTTAGCCTCATTGCAATTGATAATTCGATATATGTCTGCAGGATACACTGTTCCTTGAAGATCAGAGAGTAACGTAATACAGTATTCAGAGAGGAGATTATAGATAGCTCAATAAGTACTGTCATCTCTGCTGCGTTTTCACTTGGAGACTCATCTCTTCAGACACTTATATATATATATATATATATATATATTCTCTATTGTTGAGTGGCCGTATTATTGTGTGTCATGTTTGTTATAATAATAATAATTTAAATGGCTATTGTTCCTTTATCCACTTAGTTTCCTCTGTTCTGGTATGATTTAATATGACTTTATACCTACGTGGGCCCACTGTATTACAGAAACTTTAATGAATAAGCTGTATTTTTTTTACAATTTATAAATAGTTTGATTTTAATTTCTAGAAATTTTATATCTTTCAAAAATTAGTGCTACTATTGCACAACAAATTAACTCATGAGAACATATTTGATACATAAATAGAATTCATACTTCCCTCAAATCCCACATCAAACCTTATGCTTTATCCCTACTAATGCTGATAGAATCTACTCCTCATACTTGTAAAAAATAACCTTCTACTCCATAGCGGCTAAAATATAAGTAAAGGGCAAGGATTTTTCACTGATGAATGGTCAGGATGTATTTTGCAAAATGTTGTAGGCAAAATTAATTATTAAATCTATTCAATTGAAAAGTTGGTAAGATTTAATGGGTTTGACCAAAGGACACTTGGTTCAACTAATTGAGAGAGTTGAATCAGTTTATCTTAAATTTAAGTTTAAATTTTAAAATATACAGTCTCACTAGATAAATACATCAAAAATAGTTTTGAGTTGCCCTTGCAGCTATCATTGGTAATAATAGTCTAACATAATTGGGGGTGCAAATTTGTTTGGACATGAGGTAATAGTATTTTCAAGTTTTCTAAGATGATGAAAGCTTGAATTTAAAAAAGAAAAAATAGATGGGGCTGCACGGGATGCAGTCCAGGGCCCGATAGGAAAACAACAGTCCAGACTCCAGAATGGGATTGTGGGCCCAACCCAGCATAAGATGGGACTGTCGTACATACGTCACGTGCTCCCATCCCCTCCTGCTCGGAATCTTCTCGTGGTTCTTGTTGATGCAAAAATGCAGGAGCTGAATTTTCTCCTCTACAGAAGAGAGCAGAAGAGAAATCAATATAAGTCTGAATTGTTAAATTGACTTTAAAAATATAAATTTTGTAACTTTTAAAAATATAAGTTTAATTTAAATGATTCAAATTTGTAATGAAGAATCAATGGAAGGAAAAAACAACAAAGAAAAACCCAATCCAAAATTGCACGGCCTCTTCCACTCTTGCCCCTACTGCTTTATGTACGACTTGTCTGCATGTGTAAGGGGACCAGCCAGGCAGCCAAAATGTAAGAAATTATTTTGTATCATTCGGATCTTGCACAGCTACAACAATATATATAAATATAAATATTCATTAAAAGTTCATCCCAACAATTCTCTGATGAATCGGCCAATGGTATGATCTTCAAATATACTATTATTTAATATCCAAATCCTGAGTTTATATATCTATACTATTCTGTGTGTGCTTATGTACGTATATCTCTCTGCAATTTTCTTCTCATGTTCTCAAGAGTCCCATGACACTTGATTGACCTCACTTCACATGTAAGTTTAAAAAAAAATTTATCTTAAAAAACTAACTTTTTAAATGATAAACTCCTTTAAATTTATAAATTTCAGCTTTTTTCGGATGAGAATTCTACTTATAATATATATACGGTTGAACACTTGAATGTAATTAATCTCAACCATGAGAAAAGACATAAAATCAATTAGAGATCAAGTTTTATATGGTTATTAATTTTATCATTTAAATTTAATTTTTATCAATTTAATCCCTTATCTTTTATTAAATTATTACATGGGTTTTTCAAGTTTTAAAATACAAATTAATTTTTAAAATAATTCAATATGTAAAGCATGTTAATAATTTAACATGTATATGTAATTAAATTAAAATAAATTAACTCTTAAGTCAATAGTTTTTTTATCAATATAGTTTTTTGACAATTTGTTTTCTTTTGTTTCTTTTTTTAATTTTAAAGTATTTTTTACCTTATATAAATTAATCCACGTGGCTGTTATCAATATTATGTTAATCATATTAGTAAATTTTAACAATTTTACTTCATATTTAAGTTATAAGAATCAAATTAATAATTAAAATAAATTTAAAAAATTAAATTAATAAAAATTAAACTTAAAAAATTAAATTAATAACCAAATAATGAGGAGCTAAAAATTAAATTACCTAAATCAATTACATAAGGAAACTTCCCCCTCTGCCAGTGAAATTTTTGCTTCCACGCAGCCACGCCTGGAGCATATATATTGTCGATTACTTCATACATGCTTCCATATTCACTACATTGATTACTCTTCATACATGCTCAAACTAAATCATAATAATTAAGAGTCAACTAAAACTTAATTACTGCATGCTTAATCCTGTTTGATGAAGGAAACAAGACGACAGAACATGGCAAGAGCACTCTCACAGCTTGGTTTGTACATGTGGAACACATGGCCTTCCTCTTTCGTCTCCATCACCTCCAGATCTCCACAAAACCCATTTCTCTGCAACACTTCTTTGTAGTACCATCCTCTGTCCTTCAGCAAATCCTTCTCTGCAACACAAACAAGCACCCTCTTACAGCCTATCTTCCCTATATTCGGATCCTTCTCCGGGTTAATCAACGGATCATCGGATCCCGATGTGGTCGGGCAGGCAAATCGCCATAGATTATCCGCCTTCGCTGCAGATTCAGCGTCCTTCAACTCGCATCCAATTCGTTCCACTCCCCAGAAATAAGGGTGCACTAGAGCAATGGCTTCCAGTTCCACACCTGGCGGTTTCTCCAACCCGATCCGAATCGCCATGTGGTGAGCGAGGTTCGCGCCCGCACTGTCCCCAGCTAAGAACACCTTCCCCAAATCGGCGTGACGATTCAACCACTCGTCGGGGCCGTTGCCGGCGGAATGGGAAGCTACCCATTTCAGAGCAGTCCATGAATCTTCATGGGCGGTCGGAACCGGGTGCTCAGGCGCCCTCCGGTAGTGGACGGAGACGCCGATGACGTTGGCCTGAGAAGCAAGAGCGTTGACGTAGTTGTGGTAGTTCTGGGAGAATGGGGTTTCGATGCAGAAGGCACCGCCATGGAAGTAAACAAGAAGAGGGAATCTCTGATCTGGGTTTGTAATTTTGGGAAGGAAAATCCTGGCAGATACGCCGTCGTCTTTAGAAATCACGACGTCTTTGGACTCGACATCGGTGACAGGGTCGAAGCACGGAGGAACAACCTCTTCGCCGGCGAGTCTCTCTATACGACCGTCTTTGTAGACTTTCATGATGGGAGAGAGGTCGTAGGCGAGCTGGTCGGAGTCGGTAGAGCTAGTGGAAGAATCCATGGTGGAAAGCTGAGAGGCAGTAGAAGCAGAATGAGATGGGTTCGAGAGTTTTAGAGAGGGAAGACGAGGACGAGGAAGCTTGTGAGAGAGAATGGGAAGAGATGATGAAGCGGATGAATGGCTGAGAAAAGCATTGGAGAATAGATAGCTTGGATGAGTGTGTACAGTGAAAAGTGTCTTCATCGCCGTCATCTCTCTCGTTGGTTGGATGGAAAATGGGAGAAGGATTTTAGTAAAGTCTGATCTGATCATGTGGAACTGTGATTATTAATCTCAAAGTGTTATGTCATTTATGTACACGTGTTTAATACTCCAATTTTTCATCTCTTATGTCATTTACATACACTTGTTCAATCATCTTTTTTATGCCATTCACATAATCTTATTTATTTATTTTATATTATTTTTATATTGAGTATTAGTGCAATCTAGTTTGAGACATGATCAATCATTAAATATAGGTATTTTTTTCAGAGAGAATTCAAACCTTAATTCTTCATCTTGTAAAGAGTTAATTTCTTTTTCTAAATCCAACCCTTATTAATTATTTTCATATACTATTTTTTGTGGCCATAAATTTAAAAAATAATAGGTGCAAAATTAGTTTTTGACTTACATCAATTTGGATCATCCATATCAAAGTTAAACTTTGTAGATTTAATATAATTTTAATTTTTTAAATCATTAAAATAAATTATGACTTTTGAACGGCTTAAATTAAATCCCTTGGTAATGATAGGAATCAAAGTGATCCTGTACTGATATTGGAACACAAGAAGAAGGAGTAACCACCAGGGCTCCGTTGCGATCATTAATCATTCTAAACCACAACAATTTAGACAAAGTACTTTGATTATGCATGATGACTACGGAGCATAGAGTCAACCATAACTATTTCAACATCTAAAAATTATGTAGAAAATACATTTTAATAAAATGGGATCTCAAAAATAATTCAAATTTGAAAATAAGAATTTAGGACTTTTTAAAACATTTAAAATCAGAGTATCAACAGCTCAAAAGCATGAAAAGAACTTTAAGCAACTACAAAAGCATGAGAAAAACTTTAAACATAAAACAAGTTAAATAGGAGCCAAAAAGTTATTTTAACAAATCAAGACATGTTTGCTACAGCCAAGCACTCATCTACTATGACTTATGGCACAAAGGCCATAGGCTTAGTTTGTCACAACAAGACAAGCAATCACATCCATTGCAGCCAATTGAACATTCTGTTGCAATATACATGAGTTAATAGCATAGATTTGATAGCAAAAATAGTCTAACATTTGAAGTACCTAATTTCTAGCTTGGATCTCCAATTAAAATGATCCAAACATCCACAAGTAAACAATTAAATACTCTAGCTAATAACTCCAATTATGCCTTAATTTGGCACCAAATGGGGATTTTGGATGCTTGGGACTTTATGCACCCACATATTACTATATTCTCAAATCAACCATGTGCCATCATCCAACCCATAGTCATTAACCAAGATAACAACCATACATAAACTATATCCATAATAAAAATGCCAAGACTCCACATGCATTAAGGATTCAATCATAATCTTACATCACACACTTTCTAAATTAGCTCCCACCATAAAAGCATAGGAAAGCCATAATAAGGATTACCCAAATCAACAATTAAGCTTATGCAAATGCAATATACACAATTACAAACCCCTAATATTGGCAATAACAAGTATTCAATGACAAAAGGGTTAAGGAAAAAAAATGCACCAAAAGTTTTTTGAAAGGAGCACTAGATATCTTTACTTTTTAGTTGGAGCAATATTGCCTTGAAAGTTTCAAAAAGGGTGCAATTTTACCTTGTCATTAGGGTTGACCATTTTCATTTGGCAAGTATTAACCACCTAGCTTTTTTTCTTAAAAAAAAAAAGGAAGAGATAGCTGGACCTCTCTCTTTTTTACTTCTACTTCTCTATCCCTTCCTCCCTAAGCCTATTCCGCCTCTTTCTAGCTTCTGCTTATCATCCTCATTGTCAGAGTCCTAACTAGAGCCTTCATCGCTTGTTGTTACTATGGTCCTTATGGCATTGACCTAAAACTACTCGACACATTCCCTATCTTGACCCACTCCACAATCACATGCTTCCAACTCTAGCAAATCCCCCTACATTGTGCAGTGTACTTGAGCTATTTCACTCACTAAGACTCTATGGTGTGGCCCAGACTCGATTTTGACTAGTGGATTTTTTAGCAATGGCTTCAACGTTGTCATTGGCAGTGGTGTTAATAGTTGGCATGTTATTTCAACAATATGAGTAGGATAAGAGGAGGTCATCTTTCATTGATGAAGTTAAGTTATCGCCTTATCAGTGATGAAAGCAATTTATAGGAGATGAAATTTAATTTTTTAAAGGTAATCAAAAATTCTTTTTAAGGGGTAATTTCTACAAATAATCAATAACTTGCTTTACAAATTTAGGATAGAGAAGCTATTCATTCATATCTTTGAGGAGAAGAAGCAAACCATTGATAAGGTCACCATTTTTAGTGTCATCTATTCAACCAACACCTTGTCTCTAAACTCCTTATCGATGGAATCATCCCTCCTCCATGGCTATCCAACCCTATGCTTACCTCACTTAACTTAGATCCCAAAGGTAATGCTTCATCTCCTTTCTTAGAAACAATTTCTTCTTTCTTCTTCTCTCAGTGCCCTTAACTTGGACTTATTAAACTTGACATTAGTGTTTTTAAGATCACAATATGGATTTGGTAGTTTGTAGATTCATGAATAGAAGCTAGTTGGATTCTAGAGGCATGGGGTTATTTCTTCTTCTGTTCTTAGTCTTTATAAATGTCTTTTCCTCCGCTACTCCAATTTCATTTGATTTCTTACTGTCAAAGGTGTGAAAGGTGTGAATTCTTGTTTTGATTTTTGTAATAAAGAATTTAAATTAGATAATGAGAGTATCTGTGATTTCTTGATTGAGTTTTGAGTTGAATAAATTAGTGGAAGAACACACCCACATGCTTATGCCACCTTGAATAAATCAGGTTTTAAGTTGAACTCAAGCATCTGTTCTTGATCAGATTCTAGGTTGAATAAATCTATTAAAGAACAATCAAGTTCTTAGCTTGTAGCAATTGAGGTATTTAATTTGTTCATAGGTTCCTTAGATTTCATGGGTCTTATATTGGGATATTTCTCTTCTCCTGAAACTATTATTAACTCATTCTTCTTCTTCTTCTTCTTTGTCTTTTTACATTTTAGATTAAATACTTCAATTTCTTAGTTTGTGCAAAAAGATAAAACTATTCAACAATATGGGTCATCTTTGTTCAATGATTATTTAATGGATAATGCCATAACCAATTTCTAAATGCTTCTTGATGAATCACGATTGATTGATAAGTAGGGTCATTAGCATTTAAACTTATGTTTTTCTTTTCTATACCTAGGTTTCAAGAAATTTATAGGTTTTCATTATTATCCCCATGGTGGGAAGAGGTGTCGCTAGAGAACTCATAATTGTTTAAGGAGAGAGATGAGGAATAAGAGAGATAATAAGAAGTTTGAAAGGCCTTTTTTCTTTAGAAAAAAATCAAGTGGATGCCAACAACGAAAGTGAGATTATACAATCTCAATAACAAAGGCTTATAAAATCAAGTATATAAAAGTATGGCAAATACTAGTACTTAAGGCAAGAAATTACAATTAACAATCTTTCAATATTCAGCATATATCATAAGACCATTAATCATTAATCACAAGGCATATAATACAATGATGATAATTATGCATGATCATATGCATTCCATCCTCATTCCTATTCTTATATTTTATGACTGAATCCACGAGCTATTAAATCATATAAGACTAAACTATGTGATCGGATTAGACTCGCTCTCAAATTATGAGGGGTTACTCAACCAAGGTACCTCCTTTCCACTTTTGGACCATGAATTTTCTCCTTCTTGAATATAGGGGTGTCATAGTTGCCATAACCCACACCATCCCTTATAGGAAATTGATGATCCTAGATAAGTATGCTCACATATGCCATCCTCGAGAGATAATGAACAAAAACGCATTGTAATCAAATATGTCAATCATCGTGCATAAATCTCAATGGTGGCTACACCATGTGGATTTTTTGTAATGTCTTTACTTGTTCGAGTGAACTTGTACTCATCCATGATCATGCAACATACTCATTATTCAATCACATGTCATAACTGCAAACTTAATTAACTTATCTTATAATCAAGCGTATACTATCAAGCCTAGAATACATAACCAATATTAGAATGTTATACCTATATCATAAGCTCACACTTATTGATATATTATCAACATATACTTTAACAATTTTGTTCATGCACAATATCACCCTATCAAGTCATATATTTATACTTAATTCTTAAGATTGTGCCATAAACATCAAATTACTTAATCACATATCTACATCTTCATACACATGCTCATTATTTCACATGCCATAATCAATATTTATTAAAATTTCAATAGTCACAATGTCATCATCACATCATGTTTACTAACCACACAATCCAAACCAAATCAATCATTCTATTTCGTCATCAATAAACTCATAACCATATATCACATAATGCTTAATAATCATTAATAACATGCTTACATATTCACATCATCATTTTTATCATAATCAATAACATACAACTCATAATTGCAAATAAAAATTATTTACAAGAACTTAATTCTCAATTACCTTCACATTTAGGCTACCACCCCAAGAGTATAATTTGAATTCCAAAGGAGCTTTCCAATAAATCCAATGAGTTATGAAATAGTTAATCTACAATTAATAATTAACAAACATCATTAATGACTAATCATCCTTAATTAACCGTAATCACAATTAAGGCCTAAAGTACTTATTAAGCCTGATTAAGCCAAAATAACCCTAAAGCTTATTTCCAATAACTTTTTTAACATTCATTAAACTTAATAAACATTATTAGCTTGCCTTATTAGCTTAATCTAACCTAAAACAACTCTAGGGTTTTGGATTGAAATACTCCCTTATGACAACTATTATCAAAACAACCTAAATAACACTTATTTAACTTTTAATAACTCATAAAATTCAAACTCCATGGCAGGAGTTGCTTTAAATTCAAACCCTAACCTTAATCATTACTAAAACTTGCTTAAAGAGGATATTAGAGGGTAGGAGATGGATTAAAAGTATTACCTTAATTGATTATGAGTTAGAATCCATGCCTTAGTTATGGAGGAGTCAAAACCCTAATAGAGCTGAAGAAAATCACCTAAAACTCATAAAAAACTCCCTCTCTTGCATCTATTTTTTGTGAATAAATCTTTAAGTTTGATTTTTTATGGTTCGCCGTGGCCAATAGCGGACAATATGAAAAAAAATTTAGATGACAACATTCATTAACATATTAAATCACATAACTTGTTAAGTTTAAAATCAAAACAATATGAATATATAAATTATAACAATTTAAAATTAATTACTGAATTATATCAATTACAACTATAAGTATATAACTTAATGTTAAATATATAACACATCGTTGCAGACAAGTGACCTCCAGGCTATAAAGGTGACGACAATAGATAGATATAAAAATAAATTATATTAATATAATTAATATATTATAAAAAAGAGATTACCTTGTACTGTTTGCTTTGTCTTATTAAAATTATCAGTATCAAGAATGTAACTTTTGTTTTGAATAGGGATTGCAAATATTAAAATTATAATTAATTTAATTAATATATTTAATGTATGTTTTTTAAAAAATTATATATATATAATATTCAGGATGTCCTAAGAATAATCATGTGTTTCATCTCATCCCAAATTCCTTTTTGTTCTATCCTGCAAAATCTCATCCCACTCTTTTTAGGTCAGGAAAGACCCCATCCCAGTATAACCAAAATAGAATCAAGTCATTTAGAATGGATACAAGGTTAAATACCCTTGATTACAACCTACTATCCTTTTAAAAAAAAAAAACTGAAAAATGCATTCATAATTCAAAAGATATTACAATGAAGAAATATCACCTAATTGGTTTTCTTTTCTTTTTTAATTTTGTTGTTTCTCTCAAGTCTCAACCATATCTATTTATTTATTTATGGAATCACTTCCATAAAAATCATTTCTTGTATCAAACAATATCTTGGTTTATTTTGTATGATGGTTGCTCGCTACTATCTGCATCTTGCTTGTATTTTACAGCCTCGAATTGAAATGTCAAACGTGAGAAAGTGAAAGGCCTACGTTAAAATCGTGCTGGATCTACTATTTGATTAAACTCATGAGCCCATTCCCAGCCCCACTTTAAAAAATTGGAAGGTTCTCACTCCATTGCGGCTTTTGGTAGCAACTTCTGCTAATGGCCCAAAGACTGCTGTGCTGTGCGAATGCTGCTTCTACTTCTCCTCCTCCTCCTCTGTGAATGGTTCCTCGCTCATGGCATTGGTCCCCTTGCACGAACTGAAGGACTCGACTCTTCATCCGCTCATGCCTGCCACTGATGATGAATCAGAGAAGAATTCGCAGTTTTTGGTGGTGACATGAGGGGGTTTTCATCGTTAGCATCATCTGCCCGGGCCTCATCTGCACTGAGAAATCCTCCTGAAGCGGCTCTCAAGCAGAGGAATCTTCAGCATCAAAAACTTCCGAAGGAAGCCCCAACTTCTTTACAAGGTGAGCCCTCGCTTAACCATCCGAATAAGCCAAAAGGTGGTGTTGCCAAAGTTGATCATGTCTACATTTCCCAAGTATTGTCGAGACCTGAATGGGTGTTACTTCTTAAACACGAACTAAATGCTAAGAGGATCGTTCTTAATTCTCATTCAGTTATTAGTGTCTTTCAAAACCTGGAAAATCCATTGTACTCTATAAAGTTTTATGCTTGGGTTTCGAATATACACCCTGCATTAGCAGCGAGTCAGTCAGTTAGAGATGTTTTATCGAACTCTCTGTATCGGAAAGGTCCGGTCATTTTGTCTGTTGAATTGATTCGGGATATTCAAAAGTCTGGTTTTCGGATTGCTGAAGACCTGCTCTGTTTATTGATTGGAAGTTGGGGGAGACTCGGGTTGGCAAAATACTGTTCTGATATTTTTGGCCAAATCTCATATTTAGGTCTTAATCCAAGCACAAGGTTATATAACGCTCTCATTGATGCATTGGTGAAGTCCAATTCGATTGACTTGGCATATCTTAAATTTCAACAGATGACGGCTGATAATTGTCAACCGGATAGAATCACATACAATATCCTTATTCATGGAGTTTGCAAAACTGGTGTGGTGGATGAGGCACTTCGCTTAATGAGGCAAATGGAGGGCAGGGGACATTTTCCCAATGTTTACTCATATACAATCCTAATTGATGGGTTTTGTAATGCTAAGAGAGTTGATGAGGCCTTCCAAGCATTAAAGACAATGAAGGACAAGAAAGTGTATCCTAATGAGGCAACTATCAGAACATTGATTCATGGGACTTTCCGTTGCTTAGATCCAAGTAAGGCTCTTGAGTTACTATCCAATTTGCTTGACACAACGCCCAACTATTTTAAGTTAGTTTGTGATACTATACTCTCTTGCCTCACAAATAATTCTCTGGCGAGAGAGACAATCGTTTTTCTCAGAACAGCACAAGCAAAAGGTTATTTCCCTGACAATTACATATTCAATGTCATAATGGCTTGTTTGGTAAAGGGATCAGAGATTCAAGAGACATGTAAGATATTTGATAGTTTCAGAGAAAAAGGAGTGAAGCCAGATATTGGTACTTATCTTGCACTTATGGAGGCCTTATACAAGGATGGACATGAGGAGGATGGTGATCGGATTCACAGTAAGTTGTTCAGGGATGGGCTAATTACTACTATCTTTTCATATAACATGCTAATTGACTGCTTCTGCAAAGCCAAAATGATTGATAAAGCATTAGAAGCTTTCAAGAATATGCAGCATAGGGGGCTTACTCCTAATCTAGTTACCTTTAATACCCTTATTAATGGGCATTGCAAGGGTGGAGCAATAGTTAAGGCCCAAGAACTGCTGAAGATGCTTCTAGAAATTGGACTTAAACCTGATATTTTCACATTTAGTTCTATAATTGATGGGCTTTGCCGTGTACACCAAACTGAGGAAGCCTTTAAATGCTTCACCGAGATGATTGAGTGGGGTGTCAATCCAAATGCTGTGATTTACAATATCTTAATCCGGTCTTTATGTGCCATTGGTGATGTTGCGAGAGCTATGAAACTCATAAGAAGAATGCACGAGGAAGGATCAAGGCCTGATACATTCTCCTATAATGCTCTGATTCACAGTTTCTGTAGATTGAACAAAGTCGAGAAAGCTAAAATGGTTTTGATTTCTATGTCAAAGTCTGGTGTGAAACCTGATAATTACACATATGGTGCTTTTATAGAGGCACTATTAGAATCTGGGAGATTTGAAGAGGCTAAGAAGATCTTTTACTCAATGGAGGAAAATGGCTGCTCTCCTGATGCATATATATGTAACCTAATTGTTAAGGAGTTGGTTGAACAAAACTGCTTGGAAGAGGCTCAAATCATTGCAGAAAGATGCAAACAGAAGGGAATATCCTTGAACTCTGTTACTATCTTGTAGAATATGTATTGACCTGGTTAAGAGATGCTGCTATATGGTGAGATTTTTTGATTTGGTGCTTGATTCAGGTACTTTGGATTGTAAAAATATTAATCAGAAATGGAGGAGAGGATAGGGGACCAGGTACTTCTCTTATGTTTTTCTCATGTATATTGGTATTAGCGGGCATTCTTTTGAGGCTTGAGGGAGATTATGAAAATGAGATAAGATTCTGTATTTGATACAGGAAGCTTTATGCTAGGGAGCATTGCCAGAACTATTCAACCAAGATCTATTTGGAATTTGCGACATTATTTTTATCCTGCATGTTGTTAACTAAATTACATGTGCCGAATAGATGTTAAGCCACTGGATATGCTCTGGGGGTGAAGGGTATTCATACTTAGTAAGAAGTCTGAGATTCAAACATAAAACCCTTTTTCATACCGAAGAATAAGATATAGAGGAGAAATATGTGTTATAAATTATTTAATTTCACAAAAAGAGGTCTGCTGAACAAATTTAAAATAATTCTTTTTTTTTTAAATTGCATTTGGGCAAAAAATGCTTTATGTTAATAGCATCTTATCTTAGATTAGGACTGAATTGACATTGTTATGGGACTATAATTTAGCAAACATACTCGACAAAACAAATAGAGGATAATAGTTTTCTCACAATACAATATATTCGACATTTTGAGAATTTAGTTTGTAACTTCTGTTCCACTTCTTGCAGCTTGAGTGTGGTTGAATCTCTTATTCTTTTTTTTTTTTTTTTTTACCTGAATGGTCAACCCCTGCATTTGTTTGGTGATCTGCGCACTATGGACTTTAATAGTTAATGCATGAGTATATGCCATCACTCATTCACTCTTACTGTTTGGCATGATCTCTCCTATCAAATAATTGAGAACATTGTGGAGTTGGTCAGTCACTTGACAAGCCCTTGTGTTGCAATGGGGAAGAGACCAAGAAACATGTTTTGAGAGTTTCCGGCAACTCTCGGGAAAGAAATTTAATCGACCAATGGTTCATGCATGTGATTGTGGATGCCATCAAGAATACTGTAAGTTGGACTTTATTGCATTATTCAGCTGGTTATGGTTAACATCAAAAGGAATGTCTGTGTCTTGAATATTTTAATATCTATCTTTTGTATTTTTTTTTTTTTAAAAACAAGTCTATATCAGCATGTAGTTGTTATTTTGTTGTTTCTCAGTGGCTGTCTTCTGATGGATATTACTCTAATGTTCTTTCTGAAATCTAAATATTCTCTGGTTTGTGAACAAGGAGAGTGTCTAATTATCTAAATATTCTTTCTTACTCTTCCCTCGTATATTTCTCCTTCTCTTCTTATTATGAAGTTTCGGTCCTTTTCCCATCACATTGCTACCTATTGCATCTGCCCGACTGACTTTAACACTCTAAGCCAAATAGATAGAGGAAGAACAAACAGTAACGGAATTGATCCTAGGTGGTTTTAGGGGACGCTGTGGTTTTTGCATCTTTAAAATGGAAATATCTAGTAGAATTTTTGTAAATTTACCCGGGTCCTAGGTAGCTTCTTCTTTGTATATACATTTTGTCAATATATTTTTTTTTTTAATTTTGAATTGCATCGTGTTTTTCTTTTTTAGTTCGGCAGCAAAAGGCCCTTCCCTTTGGTTGGATGCTTCATTTGTTAATGCTGATATGCCTATAAAGCTGCTTGCGATGAATATCAATGCTTCCGGGGGACTAAACCGAAGGCTAGGATTTATGGATCCAGTGCGAACTTGAATGGATCCACTGCAGTGTGCAAATTAATTTTCCCTGTATCTCTGGCAAAGGCCATACAAAAGTGAATTAGAGAGTTGGTAAGGGATGGGGAATTTTCATTTAAGGATGCTGTATTTTGCTGCGCTGGTAGTAAATGTCAGTATTTTTGCATATTGATGTTTGGTTTTGCTTACTTGGATGATCTTCTGATATTTAGTTTTGTTATACACATCACACTTAAAGGATATATTGGCCATTTTGATTCCCAACCCCATTTGCCCACAATCGAATCGTTTACTACAATGTTTGTTTATGTTTAATAGGTAGATTTTTTTCCCCCTAAAAATGAAATAGGAAAGGCAACAATCTCTGGGTTTTTTTTTTTAGGGACATTTCTTATTTCTGTTTTAAAAAATATTTTTCCGTGTATAAAAATGTGATATATATTTTAATTTTTTTTCACTTTTATCTTCCCTTAAACATCCAACATCTACTCTTTTGATTTAGAGTATCTAGGATGCCTAGAATGACGAGCATGAATCAACTTGAAATATTGAAGTTCAAATATTACTGCACTTTCTGGGACTGGCTAGAGAAAGAAACAAGCAGAACTAACCTGCTGCCTTGGTATCTACTCCTTCTAAGCTACAACATAAGATATTTTTTTAAAAAAATGATACATTGAAATTTCCATTGTCATTACAAGCCACTTATATTAAGTATTTAATGAAAGTATAATTTTAACTTGGTACAATTAAGTTTCTATAATTTTAACTATTTAAAATATTAGTCCCTCTATTGTAAATATTAAAATAATTTTGAGGATGATTTGCATTGCATTAATTGTTTTTGTGAAGCCTGCAAAGCTTTATATGTATCAAGGTTTTCATCGTGCCACCGCCAACTTTCCTCCACGCAACGGCCAGGCTAAGAGACGCAAAGATTTTCTTCACGTGGCAGATGGTCATCATCTCTCTCTTATAGAAGTGAAGCATCACTCCATAAGAGACCAGACAATGAAGCAGAAAAGAAGGCGAAGATTCTGATGATTTTTGAAGCACCGAAAGCATTTAGATGGTACCATGGATCGGAACGTTTCTATTTGGACCGGCAGAAGGTTCCTCTTTTTTATTACATTGAAAGAAAGAAGTAAAAGAAAAATTGAAGATGTTGGATTTGCATTCTCAAAAGAAGTTTACATTACACAATTTGTTGAATCACCAAATTTATTATATTAAATACTTAAGAACACAATACTATTGCAATTGTAAGAAGAAAGGAAAAACTCGATCGTTGTCTCTCCAGTAACATAATTTTGTATAATGCATTGTGTGTGCGTGTGTTGGGGGGGGGGGGGGAGGGGGAGCATGACCATTACATGTTAAAAAGAGAGAATTAATGACAATTAGGTTCTCAGTAAATTTTTTTGAAAAATGTATTGTAAATATTGCACAATATAAATGTTGAAAATATTGCACAATCATGAAAATAATGGTTCATGTACAACAATAAATGTGGTCTACAGAACAAATTTTAAGAACTTGGGGAGATTAGACATATTATTTGTCCGGTGTTAATGTCATAGATTGTATTTCCGAAGTCATTATTGAGAAGTTACTTTATCCTTTTATTTGTGATTGAATAGTATTACTTATTAGCATTACTTTTATGTTATTGTTTTTGTTTCCCTTATTCTCTGCGATCGGGTACTATTACTCCTGGCTCCAATATAAATGCTTGGTCCTTTTATTTAGATTCGTTTCCCACAAATAAGTGGAATGCTGATCTTTCAAAAGACTAATAGTCGTAATGTCAAATAAATATGGTGTAATTTTATTGCTTGAAAGTTGCTTTTAATAATTACAATTGAAGAATATTAATTACAAATAAAATATTTAAATTCTAGTTTTCAGTTTATAATTAGAATTGTTATTTGTAATTATTTAAATTTACATTTGCAACTTATTCTTTTTTAAAAAATATCAGTGATCTAATTATCATTAATTTTTTATTGTGAAAACACTTTTACAAGTCTATGAAATTTATACCAATTTTTAATCAGCCCCTATAATTTCAATTGTTCTAATTCAGATGTTAAGTTTGTTACTTAATCCCCCTCTACTAACACTGCTTGAAAATTGTTGACGTGGCTAACAAGCATCAGGTAGATTAAATGGCGAACACAGTGGACTGTTTTTTTATTTTTTTTTTACTTGTTGGGGGGGGGGGGGGGGGGACTTGAAACATCGTGCTCGCCTATTGCAGGAGGAACTGAAGAAATGAAAAATATCAATCCCAACCCCATGCCCAGATTCCAAAATCCCAAAGCATCATCCATGTCCCATTCCAAACCCCCTTTTTCCAAGAAAAAGAGCTGCTGTCAAGGTTGTTGTAATATTAGAATAAAAAATAAGGGTTGGATTGAGATTAAACATCAGATAAGAGTTTGGATTTAAAAAATTAATAATTTTTTTGAAAAATTATGTTTTAAGTCTTATAAAAAAAAGCTCGAGCTCGGGCGACTTTTCAACTGTTGTTCCCCAAAAATTAATGATTTTTCAAGTATTGTATTGTTAAAATAATTGATTTTGATTCTTTTGCCATTTATTTTAACACAATATTGATAAATTTTTATTAATTTCTTAAACATGATTATTTTGTAAGGTCTATTTTTTAGTTTTGATTAAAGTTGTACTCTATAATACATAAGTTTTTGTATTTATCGAATTTGTTAAAGTTGATCTGGATTAAAATTTTTATTTCTATTTTAAAACTTGATTAAGATTCTATATCTGTATTTATATTTATTTATTTTATTAATTTTTTTATATTTTTAAATTTTTTAAAATAAGGTAGACTTATGAGCTCAGTGAGTCTTTCAAATAAGAGTTGGGTTTCAAAAATTAACTATTTTTTAAAAAATTAAGTTCATAGACCTAAACCTATAAGAGTTGAGTCCACTCATTTTCCTACATCTATAATATATTTTTCAATTCCCACCCCATGAATGAACACAACCGCAAAGTGAGATGAATGACATGGCAGAAAAACAATAAAAAGAAAATAAAAAATTCCTAAATTGTAAAAACTCTTCAAAGTTCGGAGGTAAGGTCAGTTTTTTTGATGGAGAGAGTAGGATGGGGTTTTGGAATCTAGATGTGTGGTTGCGTGTGTATATATGTGTGAAAGAATGACATTAAAGTTCCAAATAATAATTTATGATGGTTAGGTTTTAAATGAATTTTTTTTAAAAATTAGTTATAAATATTAATTTGGACAATTATAAATTCAAAAATTTTAACAACAAATAAAAAATTTAAATTTTAAATATAAATTGTAATATGTGGTTGAAATTTATTTTTTAATTATTTAAATTAATATTTATAATTTATTTTTAAAATTTTTTTTATCAAGAACTTTAATTTATCATGAGTTCTAAATTTTAGAATTAGGAGTCCATTTGCAAAATGTGATATGATGGGACCATTCAAACCAAATAGGATGAAAACAAAGGCGGTCCCAATATCCCAAACCCCAAGCTCGCGAAATCATTTCTTTCTTCTTCTTCCAACCCTTTTCTTTTAACCTGGCCCCACATATCGGCATGCCATATTGTGTGGGACCCTCGCTATATGACAACCACCCATGAAATTCATTTTCCATGGGGCAGAAGTGGAAGGTACAACCGATGTGACCCCACAATGTTAAATACTATATAAATTTGATCCTTTTTAAAATAATAATTTTTGTTGATATCAAATTGAGCATTGTTTGTGTTGAAAAAAAAAAAAAAGATAAGTTGGATCCGAAATTTATCAAAATCAAGACATATTTTTGAGTTCAAAAATACTTATAAATTACTCTTTTTAATATTATTTATAAATTATTTTTATCAATATTATCAATATTAATATAATAAAAATATAAAAAATAAAATTTAGTAAAAGTACAAACATAACTTTCAAAAAGTAAATAAATTATATAATATTATTTTTTTATTTTTTTTTTAATTTTTAAGAATAGTTTAGACATTTATTTAAAAGAAAACATCATTATCAATTCAATGACTTATAAAATAGATCACTTCACCTTTTTAAAAAATGACTAATAAAGTAGATTAGAGGGAATATTCATTAACAAGATTCTCATATCTAAAATGAAATTTAAACCCATAATCTTATGAATTTAAAGTTGTTAGCATTTAGAAATAACATTGAGTATTTGAAATGAAAAGGGGTGCAGTGTGTGAACTGTCTCCAATTGATATGAAAATCCCTGAATCGCATTAAATAATAATTAATAAATAAAAATGTCATATAATAATTATATATATATATATTGATTTAACATATAATAATAATTATACAAAAGATGAGCAAAATTGAAGTCCCAAAAAAGGGAAACAGTTGGTAACCATACAAGGAAGAAAAAACAGAAAAGGAAAAGCTGAAATTTGAATTCTGGCTGATTGAGGGGCCCATGTCCTTTTTTGCCTTGCATTGCATTTGCACAGTATCTCATTACTACTTTGCTTTTTTACATTGTAACAGCAACGACATATTATGATAACCATTGCAATTATTGAGTCCCCCACGCATATAACCAAGGAAATAAATTCAAACCACTAAAGTGATCCCATTTTTAGAATCCCAACACCAAATATCCGCTTTTCTCCTCCTTCCCGTTGACTGATTCTTCATTTCCTACATATCCCTCTCATCTTGCTTCTTTTGCCTCTTTATTTGATTTATATAGCTTCACTACTGCCCACATGCAATTTATCAAGTGGTTGATATTGGATCACAATTCGATTCTTGTCAATAAAATGTGGGTTATTTTTTTTATTTGGTAATTAAAAGTTTGGATGAGTTAAGGCTTGTAAGCTTTTCAAGGCTAAAATATACATTTGGACTCTTTACATATATATTTACAAATTATCTATAAACAAGATATTCACACTACTAGTGTAATTTGAACTCTTAACCATACAGCTAAATCTTTGCTAGTTAGATTAACCTTTGTGTGTACAATTCAATTCTTGTCAATAAAAAATATGAATTTTTTAAGATAATCAAAGGTTTAGATGTGTTAGGTTCTGAAGGTTTGTGAAGGTTAAGACATGTTTTTAAATTTTTTACAGAGATATTTATAAACTATTTATTGATAATGTCCTCACATTGACAATAAATTTTTTATTTTGAAATGACTTAGGTGAAGCTATAAGTTGAATTTTAACGTAAACTGTTGAGGATATATTTATATTCCCACTAGATGTGTCCAAAAATTTCCACAAGCTTATAAGTCGCACATAAATAGAGCCGTTTCCCATCATTTGATAGCACAACAAGAAAATGAGCAGTGAGCTTCACTCCCTACCTTACTCTACTCCTCCTAGCCGCACCTTCATCAGTGGATCTTCCCTTTGGGATTATCACAGTCTCGGACTTCTCAACGCAGACAAAATGTCTTTAGGTACTTGCCCTTTTGTTTTTTTCCTCTACTTTTCCATTCTCTCTTTACCTCTTTCACTGTTCCCGTCTATATGAATGACGAAACAATCAATGAATGTTCATGATGATTATATTGCTGATATATATGTTCAATTCAATCATACACAGTCATGGATGAAATTGCACCATGCTTCTCATCACCTCTCGACCTCTCAGATTTCTCGTCTGGCTACTTGGAAGATGCTTTGCTCGAGTTCACTGATCATTCCAAACGTCGTCGTTTGCTTCCTTGCCTGGATCATGAACCAGCAAGCAAGACTACATTCGATATTGATCTTGACAAGGTAGCCATAGATACATTCCTGTTCATCAGTTTGAAGTTCTTCTTGCTTCTTCCTCAAAACTGAGACTGGTATGTTTGCGCGTTTATCATATCTGTACTAACAGAGCTTCTGGAATAATTTCAACCCTATATCGCACCAGCAGCCAGCAGAGAATTTGTATTGCATGAACCAGATAGAAAGCATTGGTGAATTTTCAGGTATCAATGTTCCCAAGTTTAAATGGAGTACTTAATTAATTCTTTATTCTTGTTGCATTCATGGGGTGATAGTAATGTTTGTTTAATTTAAAGCTAAAAGATAGAGTGCATGCATTTACTGTCTGTAGTAATTAATTATTGCGGAAGTGGCCTTCCAGAGAGAGAAAACAAAAGGAAAGAAAATATATCTACAAAGTTATGTGTTTCTGTTGCGAAGGAAACTTTTGGTACGATTGTTAAATATATTTACATTATTTAAATAATATTGTAGATGTAGATGAGTGTGGAAGAACATGTATGAGCAGAATCAACGAGGAAGCAAAAATCCTAGCAGGAACTGAGACACCAGAAGAGATCACAGTATCTGCATCAGAATCTCCAGATTCATCCTCATCTTCCTACAACAAAAACCCACTTGCCTCTAAACCCAAGCATGACACAATAGCCGGTACTTCCTTTTCTTCCTCACCGTCACTTAAAAACTTATATTAATTAGCGGGTTGTATCCGTCACCTCTCCCTTATATATGTGTGCGCGCGCGCGCGCGCTATATCGGCACATCCCAGTTGTTTACTTCTTCATTCCACTGGTGTATCATGTAACCTAATTTTATTCAACAGAAAGGGACAAGGGGAAGAAGAGGGTGATAACGAGAGTGGCGTATCCATTTGCGTTGGTGAAGCCAGGAGGAAGAGAAGGTGACGTAACGTTGAACGACATAAACGAAAGGATCTTGATGCGTCCCACAAGGCCGGTGAGGCATCCGGTGGGGGACTTCGCGTGTCGGCCTTGCGTGTCAGCGGAGGGTCCAGGACTCTCAGGGAAAGAGGTGGTGGCCCTCACCAGGATCCACACTCAGGGAAGAGGTACTATCACCATTATCAGAACCAAAGGTTGAACCAAAACACACTCACCACCACGTACCCTCTTGGCAGGCAGGCTTGCTTCAGCAAACTAGCTTTATTTGGAGCAGCTTTTAGAGGCCTTACTTGCTTTGTTTTCATAACAAGAAAACACTGTTTCTCATGCATTATGAGTCATACTATTTATGACTCTTATAAATAGTGTATGTAGCTACATGTGCTGGTATGGTTGAAGAAAGATAAAGTTAGAGAGCATGGGGGTGAAGGAGATTTAATTCTGTGCAAGAAATTTGAGTGAGAAGATTGAATTCGGATCACAAACGTTGGTCCATTGTATAGTTGGAAATTGAAGCCATATAAGATGTAAGGTATAGTGATGTATAAAATAGTTGAACTACTTGTTTTCTATGTCCATATATATATTATATATATGCATGAATGTTGAATGAAAATTATGGTTGGGCCGAATTGAGCAATGACTTGACTGGATCTTAATTTAAAAAATATCAATTGAATATCATGGTTAAATTATAAGTTATTGAACCAATATGTTTAGTAATGGAATGGTTAATTTTAAAGCTGTAATTTGGAGAAAGTGATGATGAGGGCCGAGCATTACGGTGGGGTGAAGTGACAGCATTGTGGTGGGGGCAGTACAAGGAAGAAAAAAGGAAGATGCTGAAGGAAAGAAAAAGAAAAAGAAAAGAAAATGAGATTGACATTGTTCAGTTTCAGGCCTCAAGCTTATTGACAATGACACCCCATGACATGGCAATATCTCTAGAATCCCACTTAAGATTCCCACTAACTGTTCAACCTAAAATTGTGTGAATGTTTAATTTATAAATGAAACAACAACAAAAATAAAATTTTTACATATTTCATGTACTTGCAAACATTCATTTTTTTCTTTATACATTATCGAATTCAATTAAAAGTAATCATTCTCAAAAGCATTTTTTACATCTTTACAAACTTGAATTCAAAACTGTGCTTAAACAACTATAATCTCTTTCATTAAGACAGATGCGTGTTGATCAAACATTTCCTTATTTAAATTGTGGTTTATTCATCTTTTTAAACTAATTCTGGAATCATGAATCGTGTTACTAAAGTAATAGCTCGGAATTTCTGAAGCCTTTCTTTATATATGTCCGAATGAGATTTTTTTTTTTCTTTGTTTTTGTTTTCTAGTCGATAACAATACTCCATTCTTCCTAATACACAACTAGCAGCCAAAGGCTGAAAATCATGCTCTTTTTAGTCCTCCTCCTAATCTTTAATATGAGGCAAAATTAATTAACGTTACATTTATTAAAAAATGTTAATTATATTCTTAATTAAAATTGTAAAAAAATGTAAGTATAACTTTTCAATTTTACTTTCCTTTATAATTAATAATTATAATAAATAAATAAGGATAAAATTAGAAAAAAATAATTACTCTAACTTACCTTATATTGAAAATAAAAAATTTAAAATTTATCTTATATTGAGGACAGAAAGAGTATTTTACTACTCTCTGACTCTGAGTAATAATAAAGCTTTGAGGAACTTCAACATGGATATTCAAATTAATATTATGAGAAGATCCGCTTTGAAGAATAATGATATGCATGGCTTTAAGAAAAGGAAGTTGTTATGAAGCAAACATTCTGTTTCTGATGAACCGTAGAATACACTCAACCTAGAAGAAAGAGAAAAGAAAAGAACCTTAAAGACAATATGCCCAGCTATCAAAAGGCTTCTTAAACACAGTTACAGCCTATACATAGCTATAAAAGTATAAATAATTACCCCTTCACTTTTAACGTCACCAAAAAATTTGTTTTTTACCTTATTGTCGCCTCATTTAGTGCTTTTAATGGTGGGCAGACAAGGGAATCCAACTTGTAAAAGTGGTACCAAACTAACTATACACTAAAATATTCCAGAAATAATTAACACCACACTGTATAGCTCCTCATGCTTGACGCCACTTTTCTAGATATATACCTAGCTGGTAATATGTTTATTTTTAAATTCAGATTTTAAATTTAAAATCGATTTTGAAATCATACTTGTAACAAAAGAATTAATGAAAAATCCATATAATTCAGTGTTTTGAGTAGTGCTGGTAATGCATTCCCACTTGCCACGACTTATTAAGACAGGTGTTGATTTGTGAGCATATATATATATATATATGAGTGCCCACTAAAGAACAAGAATATGAGACAAATATGTGTGGGTGCGGCAACACATTGTGAATCTCATGAAATAATCCTTCACTAATCATGCGTCAATATTCCATGCTAATTAATGGAGTTGTTGGGAGATGATTATATAAATTCTTCATGCACCGAATCATATCATCAAGTCAAAGCCATGAGATTTCAAAGCACGCACATTTGAAGACAGTATCCAACATGGGGCCCATTCGCCACAAATTAAAGTCCTTAATCAACCACTATCACTCTCCTCACTTTCTTCCCACACCTTCATCTCTATTTACAAAACTCTCTCATATTACATATATACTACAACTTTAGCATGTATATGCAATTATGCATGTTAAGACGTTTTGTTTTTTAAAATATCATAATTATAGTCAGTTGTGGGGAACACAGTGACAGCTGCAAAGGGGCATTAAAAGTGAGAGTGTCAGCAATGTTTGAGCTTTCATTTGTGCGTGTGTGCCTGCATGTGTTTGTGTGAGTGTGTGTGATGGTGGGATGTGAGTCACAGGACCTTGGACATATGATGACATGTCTGATTGACTCCTGCTATGATTTTGTCTCTTAACTACTTTTGTCTTTATTCTGCTTCTTCAACTGCAACTGTCATCCAATATTTATTCATTCCACGTCAATTCATATTATTTTCTAAGAACACTCATTCATAGATGTATTTTTTAAAATCAAGGCATTTTCACATGCCGTGATTCTGAGATTAATTCTTCAAAAAAAAAAAATCTTAACATTTAAAGTTGTTCTTTCTCTCTTAAAAAATACTTTTTCATGTACACCTCCAGCGATTCATATTTATTCTTGGTTATTATGCTATTATTGATGATACATATGGTTTGTTTTAAGAAGCTATTACACCCCATAATGATAGTCAGGTTTTAAAAAACTTTACTAAATTAAACATGAGTTATAAATATTTTTTCAACCATTTAAAAATATAATAATTTTAGTTGTAAATCAATAGGAATCACTCATAAGCAGTGACGGATCTAGAAAAATGAATTAATGGGGCATAATCTATACTTAAAAAATATTTATATTTTTATAAAATATATTTTAAATATATATTATTAAATTTATGATATGATTTAATAAAATTAAATATTAAAACAACACATAAAACAAAGCATTATGATACCATAAAAGACTCTCTTTATATAAACAATTACACACACACACATTACAATCATGTTTTTTTTTTAATTTTCATTCAATAAAATTTATATACCTCTTTTGCATGGCAGAAACAGCCTCTCCATGTTTTTATAATCATTTTCCCCCACTTTCCTAATCCATAATTAAGATTAGGGAAGTGACGGGAAAATAATGATAAGGAAATGAAGAGATTACATGTCTAGGAATTTCTTGTGAAAAAATTTTCGAAAACAATTTTTTTTTAAATTATTACTTTTCCATTTTAAAACTATATAATATATGTATTATATAGTTTTAGATAATAAATTTTCTAGTGGGATATGATTTTATAAAGGGATAAGTAATTTTTTTTAAAATGAGGAGGGCAATTGAAATTTTTTGCGGGCCAATTGAAATTACTTAATTAGGGCCATCTTAAGCAATTTTTTTGGGTTGTGGGAGCAATTTCCCCCACTATGCCAAATGTTGGGTCCATCCTTACTTATAAGATTTGAATGCTTGATTTATGAGTGAAATTTTAATAAAGTTAAATGATAAAAATGTCTTAAAAATTTTATAAAAAAATATAGAGCATTCTCATTTTTTAAAAGGAATAATGTTATTGTAGAAGTTTAAAAAAACGGAGCAATGTTACGCTACAGTTAACTTTACTAACTTTTAACTGTTAATTTTTGGCTTTTGACTAACAACTTTACACGTGGCAATTGCTCTCTGTCGTCTTTCTTCTCTCATTGTCTAAAATTTTGAACCAAAAAAGTGTTTCAAAATTTCTTACTCCCAATCCTTAATATCTCCAATACCCAATACGCGATACATGAAATTTCTTACTCCAACCAGTCAATTCGAGTGTCTGAGGATGCTCTCTCTTATTCCTCATCAAACGGCACTTCCAGTGCGATTCCTCGTACTCACAACATCACTGTCGATGGAACCAGATTCGTTTTCGAAGGGACTTGGGTTGTTCTTGGTGTTTGGGTCATGCTCTCTGAATCAAATCATCAAACAGTGTACGGACGTTTTTTAGATCAAGCAATTTTAAAGCCTCCCTCTTCTGCTCTTTGCTCTAAAAATGAATCAAGTTCTTCTGCATCTGTTGCAGAACCATGAAGAGTTTGTTTGGTACGACGAGGCTCTTAGTTTGTTTAGATATGGCTTCAACTCTCGCTTGGTGTTCTCCCTCAACATTTATAATCAAAGCTTTCGCCACTTCAACCTCATTAATTCCCAGTCTGGTGGATAAAGATCTGTGAATTATCATGATCTATTCCACCGCTTCATTCAGTGATGACCCCGACGTTGACTCCATTTCCCTTCAAATCCTAGTATTTCACTATCCTTGCAAATAACTAGATTTTGAAATCAACGAAAAATCAAAACTTTGAAATCATAAAGAGCTCCTTGTGTGGAATCAACCCACGCTGTAGACCTTCATGAACGGCTTATTCTCTGGACTTCATTGGTTTCCTAGAATTCATTAGTTACGGGGTTTATTAGCAATGGAAGATTGGAGGAAGCCAGACAGGTGTTTGACCGAATTCCTCACAAAAATCGAGCAAGCTAGGTTGTATCCTTTCCTGAAAGTGGTTTTCGGTTTCTATAGACATGTGTCAATTGGTTGGCATCAATATTTTCAAAATCAGACCGGATATTAAACCGAAAAGATTAGTAATTTATAATTTACATGGTTCAATCGGGTTGGATCAATAGTTAAACCGGTGACGTAATAATTAAATTATAAAAATTATATATATATATATATAATAATCTAAATATAAGAAATAAATATGAAATTGCTATTTAATTTAAAAAATAAAATATTTTAAGTTTATCATGACTTAACAAGCTATAAGATACAACATAATATCAAATAATTAAAAAAATTAGGCCTTTCCTAAAAAAATTCAATAAAAAAATAAAAAAGGTTTTTTTTTTGAACAATCTGATTCTTGAAAACCAAATCTGATTCCCAGTTTGATTCTAGTTCATCGTTCGACTGTTGGTCTAAAACAGCTCAACCCAGCTCAA